AAAAACCTACTAAGAAAATCAAAGACGTTATTTCCAAAGGCAGGCCATTGGGGTATCGAGCGTAAATTGTTTTGCTTCACCGGACTCTCGGTAAGCGGATAGTTCGAAAAGAACTGGGCACCAATTACAAAGTAAGTCCGAAGAAAAGAAATACGACTCATGTGCCAAAGGGGTCATGCGAACATGGCACCCCAAAAGAGGAGAAGCAACGCCCCCGTTTGTATAATATATGTATAATCATAGAGATTGAAACTGGGTTTATAAATCACCCTCATCGACTCAATTTTAGATAATCCAGGACGAAACCGAGTTGAAATTAATTCCTTGTCCTAACAGACAGATAGCATTACCCTCTAAAAAAATAAAATTTCTACCAATGCGGGACTCGAACTTACGTCTTCTACATGCGATAGTAAGCACGTATACAGCTAAACCACAGACGCCGTTTGTGGAAACTGTTTACGGTATATCTCAAATTTCGCTGTAACTAAAAAGAACAATAGTAACAACACAATCATCAACATCAACAACAACAACAATCATCAGTCAACACATACATCATACCTATTTCCAAAGGAATTAAAGATGGCTCTGTGGGGACTTTTTCCAGCTGTAGTGTCGCTTGCTGGGTCTATGAAGGGAGTTCTTTCAGACTTGGATCTATGGCGAGGCTTGTTGTGTTTACGTGGAGAAGTACCATCCTCGGGTAATATTTGTATTTCAGAAGATACATTCTGAAGTGAGATGCTCTTGGCGGGTAGAGCTGTTGAAAACGGTCCTGTAGTACTAGTACATAAAGACGATACCGTTTCATCTTCCCCTCTGTCACTTCCTATAGCATTTACGTCGAGTCTAGAGAGAGATTTACTGTTGGATATTTTCGAAGGCGGATTCGGGCACTGGCACGCCGAAGACAAACTGAACCTTCTTCGAGGCATGGGCTGGTTTGGGTGTCTTGATTGACAAGGGCGCGGAACGAACTGATTAGAGGGAGGAGAATGAGCGAAGTGCTGAGGAGGAAATGGTTCTGTACATTGTGCGACAAGGACTCCGCCCGTTGGCAGTGAGGTCGAAACCCACCCTTTGTGGGTGGGTGGTGGATGCCTTGACAGCGATGACTTCCTCGGAGGGGCAACCGGGCGAGCTTCACTGCGACAGTTATTGGGATTGATGTATGTTGTGTTGCTGTCGTCTGCAGGATGTGACAACCGTCTGTGTAAGAGAGAGTTCACTTTGCTAGGCAATGGGTTTGGGGGTGGGATATTTATGTACGTCGGAAGAGATCGATGAGGTGTTGGCGGGGGTCGCTTGCTCTTTGTCTTGCAATGAGGTGGGAATGACTTGCTGAAAAATGCTCTTCCCCTCTGAAAGAAAAGAGCGAAATTGTAAAGGTTAAAACCCCTTGCAACACTATAAATTTATATATCTCGCTACGACGCAGGGACTTCAAATTTTATGTCTAGCAGATAGGACCGAGTTATAGTACTGGGAAAGTTCGTATAAAGGGTCTTTCTCAAGTGCACAACGTCGGGATAAGGTGAGCCTCGACCTCCTGGACCCGCATTCTCAAAATTACGAATCCAGTAGCCTGGCCTACCTGACCACTAGACTACCAACACCACTTCTCCCTAGAGGGATTAAATAGAAAATAAAAGCTGCTTAGAATACTTAGATAGAGCTTCGAACTCCCGAAACCACAATCTCACGATTACAAGTCCGACAGGCTAACCCCTATCCTACCCATGCCAC